TCGGGGAAGCGACAAGAAATCTCTGGGTCTCTAAATGGCAAGATTTTTTTATGACAGTTCGGATATACACCAAGGTTACAGTCGAGGCTGATGTACACCAGTTACAGTTTAGGTTGATATACGCCAGTTACAGTTTAGGTTGATATACATCAGTTACAGTTTAGGTTGATATACACCAGTTACAGTTGAGGTTAATATACACCAGTTACAGTTTAGGTTGATATACACCAGTTACAGTTTAGGTTGATATACACCAGTTACAGTTGAGGATGATATACACCAGTAACAGTTGAGGTTAATATACACCAGTTACAGTTTAGGTTGATATACACCAGTTACAGTTTAGGTTGATATACATCAGTTACAGTTTAGGTTGATATACACCAGTTACAGTTGAGGTTAATATACACCAGTTACAGTTTAGGTTGATATACACCAGTTACAGTTTAGGTTGATATACACCAGTTACAGTTGAGGATGATATACACCAGTAACAGTTGAGGTTAATATACACCAGTTACAGTTTAGGTTGATATACACCAGTTACAGTTTAGGTTGATAAACACCAGTTACAGCTTAGGTTGATATACACCAGTTACAGTTTAGGTTGATATACACCAGTTACAGTTTAGGTTGATATACACCAGTTACAGTTTAGGTTGATATACACCAGTTACAGCTTAGGTTAATATACACCTGTCACAGCCGAGGTTGATTTACACCAGTTACAGCTTAGGGTGATATACACCAGTTACAGTTTAGGTTGATATACACCAGTTACAGTTTAGGTTGATATACACCAGTTACAGTTTAGGCTGATAAACACTAGTTACAGCTTAGGTTGATATACACCAGTTACAGCCGAGGTTGATATACACCAGTTACAGTTTAGGTTGATATTCACCAGTTACAGTTTAGGCTGATAAACACCAGTTACAGCTTAGGTTGATATACACCAGGTACAGCCGAGGTTGATATACACCAGTTACAGTTTAGGTTGATATTCACCAGTTACAGTTTAGATTGATATACACCAGTTACAGTTTAGGTTAATATACACCTGTCACAGCCGAGGTTGATAAACACCAGTTACAGCTTAGGTTAATATACACCTGTCACAGCCGAGGTTGATAAACACCAGTTACAGCTTAGGTTGATATACACCAGTTACAGTCGAGGTTGATATACACCAAGGTTACAGTCGAGGTTGATATACACCAAGGTTACAATCGAGGTTGATATACACCAAAGTTACATTACAGCCTATGCGTAATGCGTGGCGTTACAGTCTTGACTGATATATGAATCAACAACGATCATGAACGTGTATACACTGATCGATATTGCTGGCAGGTGAAACGAAGAAAAGTCCTTCGGTGCAAACTGATATCATGTGAGGGGTCGAACCCGTGTCAGCAGGCCGGATGGGTCAACGCATTACCATCTGAACCACATCATCGCACACATGGTAGCAATTCACTTTATGTCCGCGCATATAACGGTACGCATAATTGCTGACGGATGATGTTACAAATATATCTCAATCTCCAATCGCACATCTGTCGTTTCTTGATTACATTATATGCCGTTTATTTTATTGGGCTGTGTGTATTCGTTTGTTGGGTCAGGTAGACGAATCAATGATTGGCGGGGGTTTAACGCTAATATTTCAAAATGGGTTCAGTTTACACCCGGGCCCTGGTCGTTGCCCTGAACCTTTCATGAATATTCCTTCCTCTGCCTGACCCATTTTAAACTGCCTCGGTTCATGACGGGGCGTGTATGAATGAATGTACGTACACTCCCTGCGCTTATAGTAACAGCAGTTTGATGTATGAATAGTATTTGAATATATTAACAGCGCAGATTCATTTAAATTGTATCCGTGTCAATCCAGCATTACAATATCTGAAATAACTGCGTTCAGTGAAACAATATACAGTGTATACATGCATGTGCTAACTATATTTATCGATTGTTTCCATTCATATGTAGTAGTATATATTATATACAGAGTGATACTCTTGTACTATACGAGTATATCCGTAGCACTAACAGCACAGCAGAATAGGGTTAGTGAGTGAGTAAACTGAGAATACTGGGTATACGGAGACACAAGAGTTCACGTGTACATTGTAGTCGTAGTAGTAGTAGTAGTAGTAGTAGTAGTAGCAGCAGCAGCAGCAGCAGCAGCAGCAGTAGTAGTAGTAGTAGTAGTAGCAGCAGCAGCAGTAGTAGTAGTGGTGGTGGTAGTGGGGATAGTGGTAGTAGTGGCAGAGGTAGTAGTGGCAGTAGTAGTAGTAGTAGTAGTAGTAGTAGTAGTAGTAGTAGTAGTAGTAGTAGTAGTAGCAGCAGCAGCAGCAGCAGTATCAGTAAGAAAACGTATGGATGCACGTTTCTTTCTTCATCGCCAGCTTCTAGAATGACAATCAAATGTTAGTAGTAGTAGTAGTAGCAGCAGCAGAAGCAGCAGCAGCAGCAGCAGTAGTAGTAGTAGTAGTAGTAGTAGTAGTGGCGGTGGTAGTGGTAGTAGTGATAGTAGTAGTAGTAGTAGTAGTAGTAGTAGCAGCAGCAGTAGTAGTAGTAGTGGCGGTGGTAGTGGGGATAGTGGTAGTAGTGGCAGAGGTAGTAGTGGCAGTAGTAGTAGTAGTAGTAGTAGTAGTAGTAGCAGCAGCAGTAGTAGTAGTGGCGGTGGTAGTGGGGATAGTGGTAGTAGTGGCAGAGGTAGTAGTGGCAGTAGTAGTAGTAGTAGTAGTAGTAGTAGTAGCAGCAGCAGCAGCAGCAGCAGCAGCAGCAGCAGCAGTATCAGTAAGAAAACGTATGGATGCACGTTTCTTTCTTCATCGCCAGCTTCTAGAATGACAATCAAATGTTAGTAGTAGTAGTAGTAGTAGCAGCAGAAGCAGCAGCAGTAGTAGTAGTAGTAGTAGTAGTAGTAGTGGCGGTGGTAGTGGTAGTAGTGATAGTAGTAGTAGTAGTAGTAGTAGTAGTAGTAGTAGTATCATACATTAGTAGTTATTGTTTGTTGTTTAACGCCGCTTCTCAGCTACAAGACGTTTGAAACGAGAGTTAAATTTAGTGCTGTGAGCAATCGCCTTCATTATCAGCACATCTGCATGTACGTGGCAGTGCGATACGGAACCACGTATGTGTGTGTATGTTGATATTATCGTACACAAAGCTCATATTGCGTGAGATACATATCTTTCAAAATGTTTATGCTTTGTTTACAAAACACGAGAACAATCCTGTACTATATTTCATCAGGCAGTTTATACGTGGAGACTGCAGCGAGTGCGTGACATATAGTCACGTGGTTTCGTTAGCCAATCTCTGTCATCGATTGCTTTACGGGTGGGAGCGTCATGGCCTGATAACCTATGATCGTGTGACAAGAAAACTGCGCCCTGATTTATCTGCGTGTTTTAAATTACAGACGATACGGGGTTACAAATGCGGTATAACAATCTGGTTCTGTGAAACAGTGACTTGTGTTTATAATTTACTATTCACATGAAATATGATATTCATAATGTGATATTCATAATATATGCATAAACATATTAAAGCCTTGCTTTTGGTAACCATGTTCTTTCATATATATATATATATATATATATATATATATATATATATATATATATATATATATATTCGAACAGTATACAGTTACAGCTATAGCGTCTCTAGTTTCCAAATTATTACAGAAATTAAAACGAATTGTGCTGATTTTATGAGAAGCTCAAATGGCTGCTTGTGATTTCAAAACAAAACCCTGTCAAAAAGGTTGTTGGTGAACTCGTATCCAAGATAATTCGTAGTCACAGAGAATTCGTAGACACTCCAAACTCGTAGATAAAATTTACGGTGAAGTTCGGTGAACTTACAAATAAAATTTGTAAAATAGACTTGAATATGGCAGAGAAAGATACAGAAGTGGGGTCTGGTCATCTGGGCCCTCTTCAAACAGATTCCTAAAATTGATATAGACAACAAGGAAAAGAGGCAAACAGCATAACCCTAATTCTCTGTTATATTGTCATGGGTTGTTTAATACAGGCTATTATGATAGGAAATCATGTCTTCTTGGTTCTTTTTGTGGAATGTGTCATTAAAACAGAAAACTCCTACGAACAAATAATCAGATTGTTTCGGCCTAACCTACTCCATAAACGCAGTGGGGCTGCGTAAACTGAATCACATTTCTTGTAGGCAAAATCGCGTAACCGAAAGTTTGGCTATGGATCCCGGTCAGATGTAAAATGCATTTGCATTATATTTTGCGCTGTGACATATATCGGTGGGGCATTTTTCGAATGAATCGTTTGGCGTCATGTACATCTGTTTGGAAACTGACACAGTCACGCATCCCTATAATTGTGCAAGCAAGCGGTGTTTTTCCTAATTCTGACATGCAAATATAAAAAAAAAAATATTCACATAGAATATAACTGCAGTTTTTTAAACATAGAATGTGTTGATGTGTTATACCTGGCAATCGTCTTCGAGAATTTCCATCTGTTACAAATTTCCAAATGCACGTGTCACATGACATAATAACCATGATTTATATAAATACACCCCTGTTTTTCCCTGTGCAAAGTATTACAGGTAAGTGTTCCGACAGATGCCCTAGCTTCTTGCAGGGTTCTGTCGGCAATCTCGCATTGATTTCACCAAGGAAAGGTTATCTAGGACCGGTGTATGCCTTGGATCGAGCGCTTGGGACGAAGTGAGCAGCGAACACGAAAAAGTACCTCTTTTGTCCATACTTTCGGCAAGAAAATAAAAATAGCACGGAATTTGTAGTGCTATACCCATATTGACGTCATACCAAATCGCAACATTGCCTAACCATAGAGGCCGTTTCAACCAATCAGATTACACCACATTGGGTTCGCGTGTGACGTAGACCGGTATGGGCTATTCCAAGTTCCAAAGTCTGAGGGGGTCACGTGCGCAGGGCTGTGGTGCAAATATAATTAGCGAATAAGATAGAGCCTATTTCAGTCCACACTGACGTAGACACTCTTCTGGCTAAATGTCTATCCTAATGTTAACCCGTAGCCCTTGATTCTTTTACCCAAGTGCTTTCTTAGTGTCGGTGTTGGGAGCAGAAGGCTGTCCCCCCTCCCCGTGGAACTTTCTATCTCTACGGAGTTCACTGAAGACCGAACTCGCAGTGTGGGGGATACTAGCTAGAAATTTTGATTTCTGGCTTGAAATTTCGCTTTTCATCATAACCATTCAAACTAGGGAACGTTGGGGATACGGGTTATACATTTAACCACAGCGCATGAGCCGTAGGTGACAATTTAAGAGGATACTGTAAAATCCGTGCAATGGATCTTGCACACTGCAAGCCCGTCGAAGAGGTTGCGGCGCATTTTAGCGTCGATGAAACCGTCGGCCTCCAAGATGATGCTATCAAGAAGTCATTAGAAAAGTTTGGACCAAACGGTGAGTATATTACCTTTCTAACTCCAGTTATAAATAATAATTTTCAATAATTTACATCGCCATATTGTAATGTATGGCCAATGGCGTCAGTAAGCCTTTAGGCATCGATGAAAAGCCATGCTTTCAGTCCTCGTTATAGGGCGATTTATATGTTAACGTTTATCAATACGTGTTATGTTATGTTTAAAACGTTTGATAGTAAAATATTTCATTCTCTTTTCTGTTTGTGTTTTCAGAATTGCCGGCAGAAGAAGGTAAGTGTTTTATCGACGTGTTTCTCCTTTCGCGAACGAACAACGTGGTCGATTTATATAGTGCCTACACCTAAATTCAATGTCACATGGGTTCATGCCATGTCTACTCGCGTTCGTGTATAGTAATTTTAAGCATACTTTCCTTAATTCACTGTTCCTTTCTTTACAGGCAAACCGCTGTGGGAACTTATTCTTGAACAATTCGACGATCTTTTAGTCAAGATTCTTCTATTAGCAGCTATTATATCATTTGTGAGTATTTTTCGGTTGTTTACAAATTACATGCCAAATCCTTATCCCATACGAATGTCTAGATTTACCCCCTTACCGAATGTTTAATAACTGTTGCTACTAAACGGGGATACGGGTTTTGTTTCAGGGTACCCCAAGTATTCTTATTTGCTTTTGTAATGTATAAATCAACACTTGCCTCGTTTTTTAACATCGTAAATCCAATGCGAGTTAACCCCCCCTGAGATATAGAACATTTGGTACTGAATATTTGAAGGTTTATTCAAGATTCACATGACATGACTATGTACCTTAGTGTTGTGAGTCATTTGAACAATGTAAGATGATAAATAACAGGGTTAGAAATTAACACTAGCCCAGGGTAGTACAAATTTCCCAATTTCCTCATTGTTTTAACATAACAAGGGTATTTTATCTTTACCCAGGCTTGTAAACCTTTTTGGTTTAGTCCTAACCCTGAAATATTTCATACACATAATCTCGCTCCAGTAGATATGTGACTGTCAATATATTTAAAGACAGTTGGTGGAACATTGTGACATTTTTTTTATGTTTTCACATACCAGACTATTTAAACATGGTTCAATTATTCATAGCTTTTACAGTGACGTTTCTAATATAGACTGCCATGTTTTTCTGCCTGGAAAATTCAGTTAATGTTTTTCTAGAAAGTTTGTCTTTTCCTAACAGTCACAAGATTCACGTTGTATAAGTGTTTGTACTGACATGTCCACGTTAGAATTACCTGTGTGTACCCTTTGATGCAAGTAGACGAGATGTGGGGCTTCTCGTTAAGGTGCTCCACCACTGCACAGGGATAGGGTAACCTAGTCCGGTATGGATTATTTGTAAGCTACACCATGGGATAATGGCTGCAAACAGAATTGGAGTATAGTACACACATGTATTGCAGTGGGAATGCACTTTGGTTGAATTCAAAGGATTATGCTTCCGAGTTCTTGGATATTAGTATGCAGTAATATTTTACCAACTTCTCTAACTGTTGGTAAATCAAAATATGGTTGTAGTTATATATACTGTGATGTGGTACTTTGGTTAATTGCAATTCTTAATTCTTTGGTATACAAGGTACTGGTACCCGAAGGGAAAATATTTCCATTACATTGTCATTAATGATACATATATAATTTTATGTTTGAGAATTGAAGTGGTGAGGTAGCCTAGTGGTTAAAACGTTCTTGCTTGTCACATCGAAGACCCGGGTTTGATTTCACACGTGGGTGCCATGTGTGTGTCGATTTCCAGTACAACAGTACTTGCCCATATAAGAATTGTATTCGGATTGTCATTTGTCAGTTTGGATGAATCTCAGAAGCTATTATGTAGGTATTGGTGTGGGATTAGTGTTACAGAAGGTTGAGTGTAGGATGTATTGAATGTTATTTCTGTATGGTGTGGGTGGTATTGATGTGCAGCGGTAGAGGTCATGCTGTGTGTTTGTGACGGCTGAACTGGAGAACGTGTGCCAACCGAACCAGATCCAATTAATGTTGTGTATTTACACTGATTGCCCAGTTGATTAGCTTGTGTAATTAGTGGGACTAATAGTTACATCTGTATTTAAATCTATTTTGATTTTACTTGTAGAATTTAAGGAATGTGTGGTGTTGCCTGATGAAGTTTTTATTTCTCACTATGGCTGGAATAATGATGAAAACAGCATAAAGCTTCAGACACGCTCTGACACAAGTTATTTCCTTTGTCTCCTCCCAAGAGCGATCCTGTCATACCTTTTATGACAGTTGACATGGTTGATTGGGCATGTATGGTGCATTGCACCAAACTTCCTTTGGTTACCACCTGTACATGGTAGAACACCTGTACTTACAGGTAGAACACCTGTGCTTACAGGTAGAACACCTGTGCTTACAGGTAGAACACCTGTGCTTACAGGTAGAACACCTGTGATTACAGGTAGAACACCTGTGCTTACAGGTAGAACACCTGTATTTACTGTTAGATTACCTGTACATGGATAGAACATTGATTTACATAGTAAATATTTGAAGCTTAAGTTATAAGTGATGTTCTTTGGTTGGTTCAACGTATAATTGATTTATTTTATGGCTGTCTAATCCTAATGCCTGTATTGACCTTCTTATGAGATGGATAAAAGTGTGCATGAGCGTTGACTCGGCAAGATGAATGTCTTTTAAAGACGACAGATTCGGTGTCCGTGTAAGGTTTTCTGATTTGAATGGTGAGGTGATTATCTTAGTGTACTGTTCGTTGTCAACACGATTCCTTTATTCTTTGGTATAACTTTCAATACAGCACAGGCCTGTTATGGTGATAATGCTGATATGTAAATTCCTTGACAGAAAAATCACTCTGGTTTTGTCGCCATAGGCAATAGTGACATTAACTCTGTGATTATGAAAATGACGTGCAGATTTGAAATAGTTTGTGAATTGGTAATATATCATGAATAATGGTTACAGTGTGTCTGAGATTAAATTGTGATAATGGTGAGTATCAATAAGAAGAAGGTGGGTGGATGTTTTTAGGGTTGATGATTAAAATTTTACGATGTTTGCATCAGCAACCTGACCAAGCTGTCCTTTTACTTCACTGACAACTAGCGGCGGTCGGGTAGCCTAGTGGTTTAAGCGGTCGCTCATCACGCCTAAGACCCGGGTTCAATTCCCGACATGGGTACAATGTGTGAAGCCCATTTCTGGTGTTCCCCGCCGTGGTATTGCTGGAATATTGCTAAAAGCGACACTCAATCACAACTACAACAGCTGTCAAGAAAAGAAATCGGTACTTGAATGTATAAAACATACAATAAAATTGTTGGACACATCTGTCAGATGGAAGATTTCGGGACAGTGATTTTTGGAGGAACTTATGGGTTTAGGACTTTCAAGGACACTTTCATGAATTTTTCATATTTTGATAAATGATAAATTTTCAACAAAATCCAGTAACTTATGAGTAAATGTCCTAGAAATGGATTATATGGAATATGAACTGATCTGAAAGCCTGCTTGCAACACATGACAGATGTTTTGGGATGTGACATTGATAGATGTTGCCCATGCACACAGGAGCAAGCTACACTGGAAGACAGAAGTCCTGAGGACAGTTGACTTTTCATTATAGATTGTTTATTCATCATATGGTTTGATTATTTCATGGTATAAAACATTCATCAGTGTGTTTCTATTACATTCCTCCCAGCAAGCTGTTGGATATTTTCATGGGTGATTGTGCATTTGGTAATTAATTGATGAAATAAGGTTTGATTTTTGTTTTGCTTTTCTGATTCATAGGTATTTGTTTAACCACTGAGTTAAAAAGCCAGGTTTTCGAGTTAATTACTAAATTATTTTTGTGTTGTTTTTTTTATCTGTAGCACGCATTACTGAAAATAAAATCATGAATTTTGCTCACACATATTTCAATGGCAGTTGAGGCAGATTTTAAACATCATAGACATTGTGTTAAGTTTGATGGCAAAAGCGATGAATTTACAATGTGGTAGAATATTTGTTTTGGAATATGATTTTTGAGTATGTAATTAAAATTTCATGCCTGTTTTGAAAAACTGAAAAGCTTGTTAATGATTTTGCAGAATGTGCCTGAAATGCAATTTTCAACCATGTTAGGTGTAGGTTAGTGGACTGAAGATATTGATCAGTGTTGTAGTTCGTACATGGCCAGACAAAACTCCAGCTGGGCCCGTGAATGCACATGTTGATTGAACAGCTGATGTCTGTTATTGGGGCAATGGGATTGAAGCTACGCCAGCCTTTTGGAATCAATTTTGTCCAAATCTGTATTCTATAAATGACTAGAGGTTATATATTTAGATTTGGTTCTGCTTTGGTATGGAAATGGGTTTTTTCTTCAACATGACATTATTGATTGTCTCGCCTCTGTAGCGAGATGCTGAACTTGTAGATACATTGTACTTACTCATTCTAATGTCTAGTTCTAGGAATTCAACATGGCATGGACATGCCACGAACAAGCAGTTCTCTTTTTAATTATTTGAAATCTTGATTTAATTAAGGAATAAACAAACAGAAGAATTAAGTATGTAGCAGTGTTGGAAATTAAGGGTTTGGTTGAGTTCGCTTTGTTTTTTAATCTAGGGGTCCCTTGGAAGTTTGATTTTTAAGGATACAGTTTTGTCAACGTCCCTTGATTTTTCATGCTTTCTTTCAAACATTGACAACCAAAATCTGTTGGTCTTTAGTCCAAGGAGTGTACAAGAAAGATGTAGGAAATGTCCATTGGCTATGTTACATGAAACCGTAAAATATGGATTTGTCATTGGATGAAGAGAAGAAAAGTAGACCTCATTATCTTGTATGGAAGTATCTGATCTTGCAGATGTTTAATGTGGAAGTGTTAAGTGTAGATAATTATCAGGTTGTTCCAGTTATGATGATTGTAATTGCAGTTAAACAGTGAATTTGTGATCCTGTTTGGAATGCTTGTCAGGTTTCAAAAGAGACACTAGTTTTGAACTAGTCTGAAGTTGTACAAGGACGATTGTTTTTTCCCCAAATGTAGCGATGTTAATGTATGAATGACTGGCTAGTTTGGTTAGGTTCATGATACGGTTCAGTCTGTCCTTGTCTCTCTGTAGTTTCAGCAAGTTGTCCAATAGATTGGCAAGTGAAAGGTATTTGATCAGGGTTTTTCTCTGATAGTAACCAGTTGTCATCCACAATGGGGTGGCCCAGTCATCTAAGGCACCACAATTTGCTGTGCAGTGTTGCATCCTATACCAGAACCTATGATTGTGGGTTCGAATCCTGATTCAGCCTTGTGTTTCTAGGTTTGTCAGCGCCATACCCGTGCTCATTGGTTTCACCAAAGTGGTAAATGTCTAAGACCTGCATCACTTTGGGCTTTCCTCTCACATTAAGCTGAAACGTCATGATATAACTGGAATACTGTTCAAAGCAGCGTTAAACCCAACTCACTCATCCAAAATGTCTTCTTTTTTTCAAGTAACATTTCAT